ACTGAGCTTCAGTTCCCAATAGCATCAGCTGCCAGCCAAGTGAGTGAGACCATCATGGACCACTGAGCCTCAGTCAAGCTGCTAGGTGACTTCTGCTGTAGATGTGATGTCAGGTTGAGACCAGCAGAAGTGCCCAATGACATTCAGTTCAAATTTTAGGATCATGAGCAAATATATGGCTCTTGTTTGAAACCACTAAGTTTTTTAAAATTATTTTTTATTTTGTTAATGCTTATTTATTTATTTTGAGAGAGACAGAGACAGTGCAAGTCGGGAAGAGGCAGAGAGAGGAAGAGAGAGAGAATCTCAAGCAGGTTTCGTGCTGCCTGCGCAGAGCCCAATGCAGGGTTTGAACCCGCAAAACTGTGAGGTCATGACCTGAGCCAGAACCAAGAGTTGGACGCGTAACTGACTGAGCCATCCAGGTGCCCCCTACTAAGTTTTTAAAAATGTAAAACTGTTTACTGACCACTGTTGACCAATATTTACAATCAAGTAAGAACTGCACAGTTGAATGACATTCTGATTACTATAGTTACTGTTTTTCCTGACTTCTGCTGGACCAGTAACACAAATACTGAAAAGACTGAACCCACATGTAAGGAATAGGTTGGGTAAAGAAAAAATATATAAATCAATAGTTTAAATTACAAAAGTTTGTTTGCTCATTTATGCAGCAGGTCCAAAGCAGCAACATTTCTAATGATCTGATTGATTTCAAGAATACTTTCCATGAATTATGATCTTTTAATCAATATAGCACAAGGATTTCAACCTTTTGTAAAGGAATGGTTCTCTAAGAGGAACTTTGAATGCCCATTTAACTAAGCCTTATTTGGCTTATTAAAAAACACTATTATTTGTTTAGTTTTCTCCTCTGAGTGGTTAGGTTGTTGGTAGTGATAAAATTTTTCCTTTCAGGGAGTTTTGCAAATAAACTGTTGCATTTATATAATTATAGATAAAGTAGGAATTGTGAAAACTCTGCTTTAAACTGCCCAATTAATTATAGAATCATCTGTTTGCTTGAGAGTTTCTGGCTTCAGGAAAATTTTCAATTTAACTTGAGGTAATCTATTTCTTGGGTTGTTCAGAATGATGGCATCCCAGAAACAACGTGGACTTACTCATGGTTGTAAAATGTCATTTTTGTTTTGGTGAATGTAAAAAACAAAACAAAACAAAACCAAAATCCCATCAACACCATTTACACTTGTATTTATGTATACACACAAAACAGTTAAACAAAAAACCCAGAATGGTCCTTAGCCATTATAGGTTAAACAAGTTCTGATTGAATGATGATTATGGACATTTTTTTTGACATTTAGAAAAACTATTCTCTAATGCTGATAGAATAATATACAACAGTTTTACATGTTCTTTTCTGATAAATGAAACAACTACAGTAAGCTTTTATTTGTCCAAAGTAACCTGTGCTATTGATGCAAAAATCAAAAACAACCCAACAGTTCCCTCAATACTACTCAAAATGAACAGATTAAATTTGATTTTCCTTAGAATGAAAATGGCTCAGTTGGTTAAAGCATCCATTTTTGGTTTTGGCTCATGTCATGATCTCATGGTTCGTGGGTTTGAGCCTCGCGTCAGGCTCCTTGCTAAAGGTGCAAAGCATACTTGGGAATCTCTCTCCCTCTCTCTCTGTCCCGCCCCTGCTCTCCCTCTCTTTCAAAAAAAATTTGTTAAAAAAAGATATGCGTATATATATATATATATATATATATATGAACAATTATTGAGCATCTTCTGGACAAGAATGCAAAGTTTGTCTGTATTTATAAAAAGCAATTACAATTTAAGGACACTTCATGTTTGCTTCTTTTGCCAGCACCATGTCTGTCTCATCTGCATCTCTCCATTTCATGAGAAAGAGTAATTCTCTGCTGCTGTGTAGGACACTAAGTATTTGTTCAGGACCAAGACCATTGTCAAACCATCTTGATGAGTCAGCAACATCTCTTTTTTTCTTTAATTTGCTATCATCAGATTCCCTGTCGATAAAGATTTTCTGTGTCCTTTTTCTTTAATGGCTTTTTGAGAATTAAAAAATAGTTCAATTAACTATCCACAATCTAAACTTTCTTCAGGTTTTCAAGTATTGTCAGAATCTGTGAATCCTTCCACTTAAAGAAATACTCCATCTTCCCATTCTCTACACATTGGCACTGTACTTTTTCCACCATCAAATCTTTAGGCTCTTCAAGTCTTTTACTTCTTCCTTTTTCAATTTTATTTATTTTTATTTTTTATTTTAGAGAAAGAGAGCACATATGAGTGGGGGGCAGAGGGACACAGAGAGAACTTAAGGAGGCCTCATGCTCAGGGTGGATCCTGATGTAGGGCACCCTCCCACAACCCTTGATCCTGGGATCATGACTTGAGCCAAATTCACTTACCCAACTGAGCCACCCAGCCACTCCTCTTTTACTTCATTTGTTTCTTTTCCATTTTTTAAAGTTTATTTATTTATTTTGAAAGAGACAAAGACAGGGCCAGCAGGGTAGGGACAGAGAGAGGGAGAGAAAAGGAATCTCAAATGGGCTCTGCATAAAACCTAATGCAGGGCTCAAACTCATGAACTGTGAAATCATGACGTGACCCAAACCAAGAGTTGGAGCTTAATGACTGAGATGCCCAGGCACCCCTTTGTCCCATTTTTTGCAATGTAGTTTTACTGGAGGCATTTTTAATTGTGGGCTTGAAGAGTTATACTATTCATTGCCTTCTAGCAGCAATGGGGTAGGTTGTTGTACAGCAATAGATAACTAATAAGGAACACTTATTTACACTCTATATGATAAGATGGCTAATGAGAATAAAAATTGAGTCATTTGAAAAGAACTAGTTGTGATACTGGGTCATTTCAAACTTTTTTTCAAATTGAATAAAGAACAAAGTCATCTTTCTTTGCTGAAAAAGCTATTTGAAGAGTTTCTCTCTGAGACCAAGTTACTGCAAATGGTTCTGAGGCTATTCAGGTTGCCAAACTGCTACATAAGAATGATTCACACTTGACCTCTGAAGAGGAAGAAACTATCAATACTTCCATCAATAGTTGCCCATTATATTACAGTATACTTCTCCGGCAGTTTTGTATGTCTCCTGTTGGCAATTATCTTGAAATCTCTTCTAAAGACATGAAGAGAGTTTCTGTTTGTATCCACATATCTATACTGTACAGAGAAATGATAAATTGCCCTGTTGATGAACTGGCTCTAATCTCAATTTGATGAAAGAGTAACGCAATTCACTTTACCCACTAGCTAAGAATTTTACTCAATTTGTATTTTTCTTGAGACGTTTAACGCAAAGACTATTAACATGCTTTCACACTCTTATTCCTATTCTGTTCTATCTTTAATATCATACAAATCTAGCCACTCCCCTCCCCCAAGACTCTGGAACAAGCAAATCTAAGCTTATAACATACACTAATGATAAGAATCTATCTATATAATTAACCATGAAGGTCTTTGCAAACCCAGTAAAATAGAAAATATACTAAATAATTACCCAAACTTTTTGGAGAATTGAAAAATCCCAGTCCACTATCTTGGGCTTCGGGAATGTAAGTGTCACTCTCAAGTACAAAATACTCACTAAAATTTTTTAAGAATTGGAGAGTAGGGGCGCCTGGGTGACTCAGTCAGTTAAGTTCACGTTGGTCTCAGGTCATGATCTCACTGTGGGTTCGAGCCTGCAGGCTCTGCGCGGACAGCTGAGTCTGGAGCCTGCTTCAGGTTGTGTCTCCTCTCGCTCTGCCTCTCCCCGTTTGCGCGCTTTCTCTCAAAAATAAACTAAAAAACAAATTGGATTGTAAATGACTAAACTGAGTCCTCCCAACAATAACATTTTTATTTGTTGTTGAGTTAGGGTACTACACGCCCGCGGTAAGCATGTTTAACGAAAGGCCATTAAGGCTTTTACGAAAGCATGCTATATGGTAAGCATTTTGCTAAAATAACCTAACACGTGGCATAGGTAAGTGTTCTAATTCACAATTTTTGGCAACATGACCGCTATGGTTAAGGTCTGGCCGGCGCAGTGGTAAGATTGAGAATCAGAGACACTTCAAGACCCTCAGAGGCCGCCTGATGGAAGGCCAGAGTGACGTCACAGGACCTCGGTTCGGACGTTCTCAGGGACATGCTTTGTCTCAGTGGCCCACACTGGAGCCCACAGAGAATCACTAGCAAACGAGGTGGAAAAGGCGGCATCGGTGTCTGGGCGTCTGTTTTCTCCGCGTGGGGACACACGTGCTCGCTACGGAGGAAATCCCACCCAGCGACGCCCGAAGCCCGCCAGCCCGACGCTTCTCGCCGCAGCATTCACGCGACCGCAGCGCAGAGGACGCAGCACTGGCCCGGGCACCACCACCGCGGCGCCTGGAGCTCGAGGCCAGGCAGAGTCGGTCGGGTCACGCTGAGGCGGGAATGTGCCAGGACATTCTCGGCCTGGAGAAAACAACCACTCGAAAGACCTCCGCCGCAGGTCTCGGTACTAGCTCTCCCTCCTGGAATATGGGTGGCCCACCAGAGCGCAGGCGCCCACACGGAACCGCACTTCCCTCCCGACTTCTGGAGGGCGAAAGGGGCGGGCCCAGGGCGGCAGGCGCTGAAGTCCCGCCCCGCCCGCGCGGCCTGCCGGATTCGCCCCGCCTCCTGTGCGCCGCGGACGGCCCTTCTTCCTCCTGCGCCACTGTCCCGGGCGGCGGCCCTGGTCGCGGGTTGCGCTGCGAAGCTCGCGTGGAAGGCGGCGGGCGCGGGTCCCGGGCTTACGAAGAGCGCGCCGCGCGCCCCCTTCTCCCCGGGAACGACGCGCCGCGGAAGTGACGTGTGCAGGAGCAAGAGCTCGTTTGAATCGGTTCCCGGGTGATCCTCGCGCCTGCCGCTGCTCGGCCGCCGCCTCCGCCGCTGAGGGAGGAGCTGCAGCGCGCCGGGCTAGAGGCCTCGCGCCGCCCCGGGGGCTGGAGCTGAAGGCGCCGTGCGGAGCCTGCACCTCGGCCCCGAGCGCGGCCGCGGTAGACGCCGGCGCTGCTGTTTTTCTCTCCTTTCCCCCAATATGGCAGCGGCGGGCGGCGGCGGGCCCTCGGTGGGGACTGGAGAGGACGGTGGAGGCGACGGCTGCAGGACGGTGTACTTGTTTGACCGGCGCGAAAAGGAGTCCGAGCTCGGGGACCGGGTGCTGCAGGTCGAGGAGCGCTCGGACTACGCAAGGTTCCGCGCCTCTGTGTGTCAGGTACGCCAAGGGTCCGAGGAGGGATGCGCGGGTAGAGTTTGGGTTCGGAGGGCGATGAGACGCTCAAGTCGCTCACCAAGGGCAATAAACCTGTCACCTGGCTCTAGTTCTGCGGCCTTGGCTTCTCTCTGCCGGGTGCCCGCCATGCCCGTGGCCGGGCGGCTGGAAGCCTTGGGCTGGTCCCAGCCTCGGCCTGGGAGTGCAGAGCGAGCAACTCCGTGGGCCCTGCCCTGCCCTTTTACGGGGTCGGGTGGTCCTCGCTGCCCAGGGTTTCTTAACCTAGGGTTTCATTGGCCCGTGGCGACCTTAGTACTCTAAGCCCTTCGTACTCTAAACCCATTTTCCAGGAGGGAAAAGCCACTTGTGTCTCTTTCGTGTGGAACTTTTTTTTTTTTTTTTTTTTTTTAAGAGATGTAACCCGGTGGCTCTGTTATGACTGTTGTGATGGTTGGGAGTTCTGAAACTCCTGGAGTCGGTTTACCTCAGGTTCATTAAATGATAGAATAATTTCCCGGGTCGTTCTGTCAAGGAGCTCTATGGGCACTCCTTGGCAAGGTCCTTCCTTCCCTGGTGGAAACACTTGTCCGAGTTAGCTTCGCAGGTGGAGCTGCTCTGCTGGCTTTCTTGAGAGTTTTAGAACTATCTCGAAAGGTGTCCGTGGGTAGCTCTGAAACACCAAAGAAGGTGTGTATGTCTGCGTGTGTTTATACGTGTGTGTGTGAATATATATGTTTGTGGTATATGTATCTCGACTGTGTTAGTTTACTTTAAAAATTAATGGTTGTGTGGGAAAAACTGCACTGTCAGGTATCTTCTAGATATGTGGCGTTGGTGGTGTCTGAGCTTTAAAGAAGGGATGGTTATAACCTTGTGCTGTGTTAACCGCATAAAGTTCTTTTTAAGCTACAAGGAGCACTTAGCTTCCAAGAGAACTTTGTGTGAAGCATTGTTTTAATTTGATGAGGCTGGTGATTTAGTACTGGTCTAGACACACAACTCTGTGTAGTTGCTGAAATAATTGAAATCAAGACCCATAGAATAAGAGGGCCTTAAGAGCAAGGACTTTGGTTTGTTCACAGTTGTATCCTCAGTGTCTAGAACTGTGCCTGGCACATGGCAAATGCCGAAATTATAAAGTGCATTCATTCTGTGCCTGAGTATAGCAGATTCCCATGTATTTGAAAACCAAATGAATGAATGCTCATCTTTTTTTTTGATGAATGCTTTCAAAACCATTTCACAAAAGGAAACTTTTTTAATTTTTTTAATTTTTAAAAATATTAGCACATTAAAGAAAATAAGGAACAGAGGGGAAAAAAGTGAGTAAACTTTTTCATTAGTATAAAATTTATGACTACTGGTAGCCCTTGGAGTTACTTCTTTGTGTCCTTACTCTGATTTTTTTATGGCTGTAATACACGTTTGTAATCTATTTTTTCAGTTAATATTGTCAGTATTTTTCTCTTTTAGTGCAGGTCTTCATAATAGTTTGAAATGGTTTGTTCAGTACATCTGTTTACATAACCAAATTCCTTCTTTTTGTTAACCTTTACATTACCTTCAATTTTAAGTAATGCTGTGATAAGCATCTTTGAATACATAGTGTTTTACGTCTTTTTCTTTAGAATTTTGGAAGTGAAATTTCTGTATCAAAGCTCAGGAATATTTTTAACGCTCTTGATTTTCAGATTTGTTTTCAATAAGGTTCGACTAATTTACTCTGTGTAGAAGTAAATTCTCCTCTGTGAGAAGTCTCAGTAACTGTTAGTTGGGGAAGTATTATTACAGAAGTGGTAACTCACTTTTGGAGATGGTGACTCACTTAAACAAAACAGATATATAGTACAGTCTCGAATTAGGATTCAAACCCAGAACCCATATTTTTTCTGTTATACCATTGTACCTCAAATTAAGTTGTTATAGGGGATAGATACATTTATTCCATTCCTTCAGTATTTTAATTTGAAAACCAAACAAAATATTTCTTTTGACTAATTCTTTCCTCCTCTTTCCCACTTTTTTCTCCTGGAAGAGAAAAGGTTAAATTTGATCGGAGGTGAGAGGGAAGAACTAGTGAGAAAAAAAAAAAATGGAAGGCTAACTTTTTTTTTTTGCAGAATTTATTTTTTAAAGCATCATTAGATTATGTAACCTAATCCCATAACCTTGTGTCCATTACCTACATGAAGAACTACATTAAATTTCTGAATTAAGTCCAGGGTTTTAAGTTAATAAGCAGTGAAACTGGGGTTAGAATCTAAGTCTCCTTAATTCTGAAGCTTGTATTTTTATTTAAAAAAAACCTCCACAGTGCCCACGCTATTTACTAAAGCCTTTATTTTTCTTGTTGGGGAGGAGGAAAATAGTGCACTAAGTTAAAGGTTTTCAGTAAACCTTGAACTAATAAGTGTTTGTAGTGCTAGAAAGTATTATGGATCCTAAACTGTTTTTTGGGGAAAGTTCACCTTGTGGAAAAGGGAGCAGTCAAGAGGATAGAAGAAGAAAGAGTTTTTTGTTTTTGTTTTTTTAAAAGAGGAATAGATTTGAAAGAATCCCTTAGACTTGTGATAAGCAGCTATTAACCTGAGCCCTTGTGACCTTGCAGAATCATAGAAGATAATTCATTTGTCTAGCTCTTAAGATACATCCAGACATTAAGTTACAAGAATGCAAACCTACCCTCTGTCTCCAGTTTTGAGGAAATGCTTACTTTTTCCTTTGTTTAGTTCCATAATACCTTGTTACTCTACCATGGCACTTACTCTACCATCATACTTAAAAAAAAAAAAAAAAAAAAAAATCTGTATGCTCCTTGAGGACAGGAGCCTTACTAATAGTTGGTTTATAGCTGTTAAATGAATCACTCTCTTCTTTAAAATTTTTTTTTATATATAGGATATACATATTAAAAATTCTGAAGATGAGGGGTGCCTGGCCAGGCTCATTTGGTGGAGCATATGACTCTGAATCTTGGGGTTGTGGGTTTGAGCCCCAAGTTGGGTGTAGAAATTCCTTAAAATTTTAAGAAAAAAATTTTCCCAGAAGATTAAAAGAAGAATCAAAAGTTGATATGGGAAGGAATAAAATAGTAACCTGAGGAGAGGTAATAAACTTTGATAATATCTTCTACCATTGCTGAGCCATGAAATCCAGCTTTGAGTTTCTTAGGTCAAAACAAGGAAAGATAATTGATAGAAAAACTACAGTGTCTATAAAATAAAAAATTTCCATCTGCTAGTGAAGCAAAACTTTGAGAAAAATTTTTTCTTAGATTCCTTTCAAATCTTGATAAGATGTACAGCATCCTTAAAGATAGGTAAGGCTACTGCTTATTTCCTTTAATGCAAGGTAGGGTATGTGTTATTTAGGGTAATGCAAGCTGCTTTAATCCGTAACCACTCAAATTTTTTTTAAGTTTTTTCTTTTCTTTTTTTTAAGTTTACTTATTTATTTTTGAGAGAGAGAAAGTGTGAGTCAGGGAGGAGGGGAAGGGAGAGGGAGAGAGAATCCTAAGCAGGCTCCACTCTGTCAGCATGGAGCCTGAGCCAGAGTTGGATATCAGTTGGATACTACCTGAGCCATTCAGGTGCTCCTCAGATTTTTTTTTTTTTTTTGTAAGAAATTTCTCACTCATATGCATTATGGGTGTTACCGGTCTGTGGGTGATTCAGGGACAAAACCTGCACATTGGGTATAATGTCAAAGGACAGATCATTAAAGGCTAGTTTGCAGAGTTTCAGAACAATGCATTGAAGTATATAGTTTCTGTTTGCATTGAAGTATATAGTTTCTGTTTTAATTCATGGATGAAATTTAAAGTATTTGAAGACTTTATGGACTCAATTTAGTTAGCTCTTCAGAAATCTTAAAATTGGCTTTTGAGAAAAGTTGGACAGCAGGTATTTTGAAGCTGACCTAAAGAGATGGAGGGCAGGTAATTTTTATTACCCGTTAAAGGCAGATCTGTCTGCTTTACCAATTAACCCAGAAGAAGACAGGATCAAAGTGTTATAAAAATGAGAAAACCTAACCATGTCTCTTGCCCAAATAAAATGCTATTCTGCTTTTGTATAGGGAAAGACAGAAGAGGTAAATCTGTATTCAAGGCCAGGTTAATACAAAACTTGAGGGGTGCCTGGGTGGCTCAGGCAGTTAAGCATCCGACTTCAGCTCAGGTCATGATCTCATGGTTTATGGGTTCGAGCACCGCCTTGGGCTCTGTGCTGACAGCTAGCTCAGAGCCTGGAGCCTGCTTCAGATTCTGTATCTCCCTCTCTGTCTGACCCTCCCCTGCTTACACTGTCTCTGTCTCTGTCTCTCTCTCTCTCTCTCTCTTAGAAATAAATAAAACATTAAAAAATTTAATACAAAACTTGAAAGACTTTAGTTTATGTCTGATAAGATAGAATTTAGACTAAAAATATGGAGAGAGAAGGATGTCTTGAATAAAGGCATAATGTATAATGTAAAAAGTACTTTGTCAAATATCAAAGATTTAAAAATATTGAGAAAAATTATGATTTTAAGAAATAATTTTTATATACAGAATTCAAGGTAAGGAAGACAAAAAGATAGCTTAGTATCTTAGTTGAATAACAACACATTAATCGTGAGAGTGTATGGAATAATCAGATACAATTATTCAGATGTATGTAAATCATAAAAATTTAACTTGACACATAAGAACAAATTTTATTCTACAGGATGCATAAGCACATGATCTAACATTTGGGCACTATAGAAATAAAGCATTGAGCTAAAAAGTAAAGACCCATTACACAAAACTAAAAAAGGTCTATAAAGTCAATTTTTATTTGTTAAACAAGTACAATTTTATTCACCATCAGTTTATGTCCATAGCTTCATTTCTGTAGGATGGAATTGCATAGGATAGGATTATCTTTAATTTCAGTAAAGTATACTGTTGTTTTAGTTTCTCTACTAACAAGTGAGGATGAGTATATATTCATATTTTCTAATTTTTTCCTATATGGCTTGCACTTTTTGTATACTTTCAGAAATCCTTTTCTCTACTCAAAATTATTCCTCTGTGTTCTCCTCTAAAATTTTGTGTTAATATGCAGCATCTTTAATTCTCTTGAAAATTCTTTCTGTGTTATGTTAAGATGGGGACTTTCTTTTACCTATTTTTATGCAGGTATCTAGTTGTCAGTATCATTCATTGAAAGTATTCTTTCCCTACCAATTTATACTGTCACCTCCTATTTCCATGTCTATATATGTAGGTCTGTTTCAGGGTCCACTATTCTCTTCTACTGGTCTATTACAGTAAATTTTATGTTACACATTTCTCTTATAAAAAGCTTCAAACATAAAGAGATAATGGTGTAATGAGCCCAAATAAACTCATCCAGATTCAGCAGTTAACAAGGATTACATTAACTCATCCAGATTCAGCAGTTAACAAGGATTTTACTACACAAGTATCATTTTTGTGTTTTGTAGCATATTCCAGTTCTTGGTTCACTTTACTCCTATATGTTCACATGCATTTCTGTGATCACATCATCAAAATTAACATCTTAAAGTATTGTTTATATATAAGTATCTCTGATTATTTCAAAATGTCTTTTTATAGTTGGTTTCTTAAAGTCAAGATTCCATCAGGGTCCTCATGTTGAATTTGGTTTTTATGTGTCTTAATTCTTTTCAGATTTAGAGCATGTGAGCAAAACTGTCTTCCCTCAATCTCATAATTTTTCCCAACATTGGCCTGTTCAAGAAGTCAAGCAGGTTTTTCTTTAATAGTGCACATTATGAGTTTGTGTGCCTTCATGGTGTAATTTAACTTGTTTTATCTCCACATATTCTGTGGAGATAGAATAGTTTAAAAAACTATTTTTAAAGGTTTATAAGCCAAACTTGGGTTCAGCTTCTTTGATTGAGGTATGGAGGCAAAGAAAACTTCATAGGTGGTGCTGGTATTTTATGTTACATCGTATCAAGAAGGCAGGTAATAAATATTTCTCCCACCCTTAGCAATGCTAAGATCATATTAGTAGGATTCAGATGGTTTCAACTGGATCCCTCCATAACAAAATTTGATCTGATGGTTCATCCATTAATGGTGATACTCTGATTGCTATTCCTTCTGTATTAGCTGGAATTCTCTAAAAGAACAACTTTGCCTCATCAGTTAGAGCTCTTTGCTTACCCCTTAAATACAGTTGGTACCAAAAAGGCAGGATAAATGTATTTTTTCCCTTAAAAATTCTTTTTAAGTGTATTTATTTTGAGAGAGAGCGTGAGAACACACAACTGGGGGAGAGGCAGAGAGGAGGAGACACAGAATCCCAAGCAGGCTCCATGCCATCAACACAGAGCCCAGCGTGGGGCTCGAACTCATGAGCTGTGAGATCATGACCAGAGCCAAGATCTATAGTGCTCAACCAACAGTGCCACCTAGGCCCCCTTTAATTAGTGTTTAGAGTAAGGAGTTGGTGCTTTAATTAGTTTCAGTAGGAACCAATAAAGTTTAGTATCGCTATTGAAGGCTTGAGTGAACATTATTAATATAGATTTTTTTCTTTTTCTTTTTTTTTTTTTTTAGTTCGGTGGCAAGGTTGGTCCAAGATTAGTCCATCAGGCATGGAGGAGGGCACTTGTTGGGATAAGCATTGGGTGTTATATGGAAACCAGCTTGACAAGGAACTATAAAAGAAAAAGAAAGATTAGTCCATCATTACCTGAAGCAGAAGTCAGTCTTTTCACTTAACTGTATATTGTATTGTTTAATTAAAAACATTTTTTAAACATTTATTTATTTTTGAGAGACAGAGAGAGGCAGAGCATGAGCAGGAGAGGGGAAAGGAGAGAGGGATATAAAGAATCTGAAGCAGGCTCAGGCTCTGAGCTTTTTGTTAGCCCAGAGCCCAGTGCAGGGCTCAAACTCATGAACTGCATGACCTGAGGCTTAAGGTGGACACTCAACTGTCTGAGCCACCCAGGTGCCCCTGTATTGTTTAATTTTAGAAAGAGCATATGTCTTTTAATTTTAAAGATGGGTAAAATTTTAATGAAAATGTTAACTCATTTTCCTTTTCCTCATTTTCTGATCAATTGTAAAATTTCTATTTTTTGTATGTTCATTGGTCATTCATTTGTATTTTCTCCTTTTGATTGTGACTTTTTGTTCTTTCCTTTTTGTTGATCTTCATCTTGTTTTATGAAGGCTTTTTGTTTCCTTCGGATGCTATCTCTTTGTCTCCTGTTGGAATTCCTTCTAAGAATTTATAATTTTCCTTAATATTTTAAAGTTACTCTTTTGGAAGGGGTTATAATAGATTAAAGAGATTCTTTAATACAGAAAAATCCTGCATAGCATGGCTATCCTTACCTCTGTGTGATAAATACTACTCCTTTTTTCTAGTATTTTTGTTTTTGTGTATTTAAATATTTAATCTGTGTGAACGTAAGAGTTAATGCGTTGCTCCAAATAAGTTTACTTTTGTTGACATGAAATAGCATGCCTTTTACCTAAGAAATCCTGCCCATATTAAAACTCTTTTGAAATATTCCATCTAATCATCATGTTCCTAGGTGTCTTTATGTGCCTGTAGCAGAAAAAAACAACCTTGTTAAGCAAATAGGTAATTAATAGATAGAGCTGCCCTTAATTATGCAAAGGAAAATTTTTAAAGTATCAAGACTTAAATTTCTTGGCTAAGTATAGTAATTGTTACAAGTTTATACTATACTATCAATGTTTTCATATTCTTATGAACTTGAATGGTATATTTACTTCCTTTTTGTAATAATTTATTTTATTACTATTATTTTGGATAGACACTTGGCATTTCACCTGAAGAGAAATTTGTGATTACAACAACAAGTAGGAAAGAAATTACCTGTGATAATTTTGGTAAGCAGTGTTTAATTGACGCTTTTATATTTAGTATGTTCTAGTACATTATAGGGCAGTAACTATCCCATTACACAGATAAGCATCTAAAATTATTGATAATTTTGGTTACTTTTTTGGGGTGGAGGGGAAACTGATTTTATGTGCACAGTTTGTGTAGAGATCATATTTTTCAAAGAATTATAGAAGAATAAGTTATCAGTTACAGCTGCAGGAGATGAGACATTGTGTAATACCTGGCCACATTTCTTTTACATCGGCCCTCAAGAAGTTAATTCTCACCAATTTAGAGTCTTCCTCTTTCTTTTTTCTTTTTTTTTTTAATCCAGTTAGATTCCAGGATCTGCCAGTTTTCATGCCTGACTCCTTTTGAATTTAATCATACTTTTCCATTCATGTTAATACCACTCTAATATAGTTTCTCATCTGATTTCTTGTGAGTTTAACTTATTAAGAATTGTTTTAGATGAGTGGATATATTTGGACCGATTCCACTGTACTGTCCTTAATAAAACACAACTGAACTTATAGATCGATCCATTGTTTGAGGGTTTGCCTGTACCGTCTTTAAAGATAGCTGATAGATATAATTTGCATATTCAGAATTATAAATTCATTGTATTTCTGATGCTAGTGTAGTACTTAAGTTGTTACCTTTTAATTACAGATGATACTGTTAAAGATGGAGTCACTCTATACCTGCTACAGTCAGTCAATCAGTTACTACTTACAGCTACAAAAGAACGAATTGACTTCCTACCTCACTATGACACACTGGTTAAAAGTGGGATGTATGAATATTATGCAAGTGAAGGACAAAATCCTTTGCGTAAGTATTACATCTGTTCTAATTTTGACAAACTATTACTATACTTTATCTCTTAGCCACATGTTGCATTCCTTCACTTTTTAAACATTCTTTTTCTACTTACTAGAAGATCTGATCAGTCATTGTGAACTTCCTTGCTTCAGCTTCTTCATCACAATATATTTCTTTTTCTAAGTCTTCTTCAGAGTAAAGATACGTCTCCTTTAAAACTAATCTAGGATTAAAATTTCTCCCACTTTAAGGTATAAGAAATACTGTACCTACATATCTTTCATCTTCTGTATACTCTGATTTATTCTTCCTGGCTTCCTGTAGACCTCTTCCAATTGAGAAAATATTTTTTTTACTTTACAACTTTGTATAGCTGAACTACACAAGTAAGTGGTTTGTGGTCTGGTCTCCATTTCTTATTTCTTTCTATCTTTACTTCTCACCAGTTTTTGTCCTACCTTGGATTGTTTGCTAATGATCTTTGTAAATCAATTGATTTAGAGAGTCTTTTCTGTCTGGCCCCTGCCAACATGTTCAGTACTACTTAGGTATTCGTTATAAACTTATTAAAAATATTTTTTCATTGTATACGCATTATAGTTTGTATGAAATTAGAAGACATAGATAAGCAAAAAGAACATAGAGAACATCATATCTCTACCACACAGATCTAACTACCACTTACACTTTGGTATTTATCATTTCAGACCTTTTCATAATTTTTTTTTAGTGGTTTTATATGGTGCATACTTCTTTAACCTACTTTTTTGTTTAAATTAAAATGAACATCTTTATATGTCAGTGTATATTTGTTTTTAGTGTTTACACATTATTTATATAAATTTCTTTGAACAGTGTTCTACTGTTAGACATTTAGGTGCTTTTAGTCTTTTTTATTTTACACATGACTGAATATTCTTTGTCTAAATCTTTGTACATATCCTCACCTTAAGTATTACTTTAGTACAAGTATTATTAATTATTGCTATAAGCTACAGTGCCAGTCTCTATGCCGAATACTTTACGAACATTATCTCATTTAATCCCTAATCCTAAGTGGTAGCTAGTGTTAGATAATAACCCTACTTTGCAGAAGAAATTGAGGCTGAGAGATTTTAGGTAGCTTGACAAAAGCCACCCTACTAGAAAGTGTTGGAGCTAGGATTTGAACCCTAGAAGAGGAACTATAGAACTTGAACTTCTAAGCATTATGTTTATTATCTCTAATGTTCTTTATATACAAAAAGCTACCATCTTATTTCCCCTGTCTTAAAAACATCATACTTAACTTTCACTAGCGACTGCCCAGTTTTTTGTTCCGGTGTATAGCAAAACTTCTCAAAGGAGGTGACTGTATATACTGTCAACCCTGCTACTCCTCTTCCCATTCTCTCCTTTTCACTCTCTCATACTTTTTTTTTTTTTTTTTTAAGAGAGTGCGAGTCAGGGGAGAGTAGTAGAAAGAGTGTCTTAAGCAGGCTCTATGCTCAGTGCTGAGCCCAACATGGAGCTTGATTCCACAACCCTGGGACCATGACCTGAGCTGAAATCAGGAGTCACTCAGTTGCCCTTGTACTTACGCTTTGAAAATCACCATTGACTAAATCCAGTGATTAGTTTTCAGTTCCCATTTTACTGAAGGCATTGACAGTTTATCACTTTTTCCTCCTTGGTAAAATAATCTTCACTTTTGAGAAACGATACTCTATTTTGTTTTGACCTCTCTGCCTTCTGTGTAGTCTTCGCTCTCCATCTTCTTTTCTTCTTTTTTTTACTGAGATATAATTGACCTCCCTCCTCAACCTTCTTAATATTGAAGTGCCTCAGGGCTTAGTCCTTGGTTCCTTATCTTCTCTTAGTTATCCTCTCCAGTGACATGGTTCTAAATACCATCTTTATGGTAGTGACTCCTAAATGGGGTGGTAGAAATGGTAGTTTTTATTTAAATATTGATGATAATGTCAGACATATCTCCTGAATTCCAGTTTTGTCTATACAGCTGCCCCTGTGTTATCTCCATTAGAATATCTAAGATGAGACCCCTGATCTGATCAATGAATCCTAACTACATATAATTTTCCCATCCAAATTGATTATCAGTCTGTTCTTTCAGTTTCCTAGGCCAACATGAATCAGATTGATTCATCTTTCATTCAGTTTGTCAGAAAGTCCTGTAGGCACTATCTTTAGTGTTTATCTAGAAAGGACCATTTCTGTTTCTAAAACCTGATCTCAAGGAGTTGTCACTTAGATTATATAGCGAACTCTTAATTATCTTTTCATGGCTGTCCATGTAAGGTTTGACAAGGCAGATTGGATTTACTGAAAACACTGCAGCTCCCCATTTCACTGAGTATAAATGTGGATGTCTTTTTAATCACCTGTATGGTCTTTATAGCTCTGCTTTGTTAATTCTCTGCAACTCTTCTTTTTACTTGTTCATTTCACCCCAGTACCTATTCTCAGCTTAGGGCCTTCTGCCTGTAATAGTGTTTGTCCAGATAGGCTCTGTCTCATTTCCTCACCTCTTTGAAGTTTTGTTTATTTATAACCTTAACAAAAATTAACCTGTTTAAAATTGCAACTGTGTTTCCTTTGTGCCTTTACTGTTGTGTAGTCTCTTTTCTCTGCTCTTTCTTTTCTCTATCACATATACATCCTTCTAACATGCTTATGATTATATTTTCCATCTTTATCATTTTTCTTTTACTTAGAATGTTAACTCCGCAAGAATAGACTCTTGTCTGGTTTGTTCTATTCTTAGAGAATAATGCCTGAAAATAGTAAGTGCTTAAATATTTGCATATTGAATGACTTTGTATTTCTTTCTATGGAGATAGATTTCTAAATATATAATTAGGGAGTGAATATGTTCATTTTCAAGATTTGATATAGATTTAATTACCTTCCAGATTAGTTGTACCAGTTATCATTCCTGCTGTCATATGAACAGTCAGAAAATCTCCCTTTTTAAGTTCTTGCTTGGATTACTGTGACTTTACATTACATTCCTAGATCTTTTCCTCCTTTTGTTTCATTGGGCTTTGGTGCTGCTGCTTGTTTTTCTTGACCATATAGTAGATATTTCTTTAAGTCATGCTGCTCTTTTTTAATACTTTTCTTTTAATGCTGATCCAAGCCTTAACTATTTGATCATTGAAGCAAAAATCCTTACCTCTGGCTGTTTTTATTCTCTGAAGCCGGGTATCTGTTCTAGTTCCCTATGGAACACCTCTACTCATTGACTTTGATGCAGCTAAAACAGAATGATTTTTTTCTTTCCTCTCAAAATTTTCCCTTAATGATAAATATGACCATTTATCCAGTCTTCTAGAGCAAACACTCAAAAACTATCTTGAATTTCTTTTTTTCTTTTGTTCATTTATATCTGTACAATTATATCTGTAAATTCTTCCCTCCAAATTTCTCTTAACTTTCTTTTCTACAATGTTCCTCCTCCATTTTCTAGACATTACCATTGGCCAGATCCTTATATGTAATCTGATTTGCAGTAACTTCTTTGTAGTTGATAAACATAGCCATCCTGTAAGTGTTTAGACTGTGGAATGCTTCCTGGGGTGCTACTCTCTGGATTAATTATAGTGTTAGTTGGGTTATGCTTTGGGGAAAGTAAGAGACATAAATTTGGTATGTTCCCCCCCCTTTTTTTTTTTTTTACCAGCATTTAAAAAGTTTTTTTTTAATTTTTAAATTAAATTTTTTTTTTGCCGGCATTTAAAAATTTTTTTTTAATTTTTAAATTAAAAAAATTTTTTTTAAGGACATAAGAGTGGGAAATAGTTTGAGTAGTGATCTTGAAGAAAAGAGAATATTAGGTAATAATAGTGAGCCATTGATAAGTTGAGTATTAGGTTGGTTGTGTTGTAGGAAATAATGAGCAGTTCTGTGTCAGTGAAACAGACAAGTTCTACCTTTTGACAAGTTGCTGTTAGTCATAAGATTTCCATATCTAAATTCTTAATAGACACTTTTATAGTTGCTTTATATTTGCCCAATCTAACATCTCTAAATGTATTTACTTTTGACTTATGCATGATGTATTACATACCACGAACTAGTATTTGATTTTATGGTTATGGTCTTCTGTTTGTCTTCTATGTCTGTATGTCTGTCTTTAGATAATAAACTCCTTGAAGCCAGGATCATGGCTGGCTGACTCATGCCGTATAGTGCCTTACAAGTACTGGTTGATGACTGCTTTTTTATGCTGGTGGTGATTGGTGATGATGCCTTTATTATGTATTATATCATTAGGATCAGGATAATACTTTAATTCTAGCTCTTTGGAAAATAAAAGTGATGGCTTAAGGTACTTTAGAGTTTCTTCTACTTTGTACTTTTAAATGAAGTATTTGGGAGGGAAAAGTTAAGCAGTGATGTCTTCTCATTCTCTTCCAGCATTTGCTCTTGCAGAATTAATTGACAATTCATTATCTGCTACTTCTAGAAACACTGGTATTAGAAGAATACAGATCAAATTGGTAAGAAAATAATACTATAAAGAAATTTAACTTTTCCTATCACAGAAGTAACATAAATTCATTGTAGAAAAGTTAGAAAGTAAGATCAAAAACTAAAGTAGAAATAATTATCTGATGTCTCTTTATTGTTAAAATTTTTTGTGTGCCCCTTTTTCTTTGTATATATGTATGTGTGATCATAGCATACATTTTGTTTTTTGTGATCGTCTACTTTCCCTTGAGAGTATGTTGTAGACATTTGTCAAATCATGAATATTTGCAGTATAATATTCCATTACTGCAGTTTCATTTATTGACTCTGTGATAAGTTATGTAATCTACTTTTGAACATTTAGATTTTTTTCTGTATTTCTGCCATTGTAAGCAATGCTGGCATGATGAACTTCCTTATAGGTCTTTGGACATGTCTCTAACTAGTTTCTTAAGCTAAATTCTGAGAAATGGAATTTCTGGATTAAAGGACATGAAGAATTCTAAGGCCTTTGATTTATATAGCTGAAGTACCTTGTAGAAAATTGTAATACATTTACACTTCCACCAGCAATGTATGAGTGAGCCCATTGAATTCTTTAATGTTTAACTTTTTATGTTTTTGATATTGATTTGACTTTTCCTGTCTTTGTGAACTTATTCCATAGCTTTTTGATGAAACACAAGGAAAACCTGCCGTTGCAGTAATAGATAATGGAAGAGGAATGACCTCTAAACAGCTTAACAACTGGGCCGTGTATAGGTTGTCAAAATTTACAAGGCAAGGTGACTTTGAAAGGTTAGAAAACCTTACTTCTTTGATGGGCAGCTGGGAATTTTAATAAGGATAGGAACTCTAATATTTCTTTAGTTAAATGTGGTACATTAGAGGTTTTTACTTTATCAGCGTATATATCATCAGCATATATACTTAGATTTTTATATTATTAAGTTTTTATTATCAATACTTAGAAATAGTCAGAATTACATAATATTTTGCCCTTCCACTGAAGAATTATTTTTGCATTTCCTAAGATACATAGAAGTGACTGTGATACATTAAGTACTTTGGACCTTTCCCCCTTTCCTTACTCAAGTTTGATGAGAACTATGTGGTCTCTAGAGCAATAGGATGGTTTTAAACTAGGCTTTAGAAATCACCTGCTGTGACTTGCAGAGTGTCTAATGAACCACATTTAGTTCTGTTGAGTTCACCGTTGCTCTACTTTCAGGGGTCTGCTTAATAAAACATTCACAGCTGTTAGGGAATAGAGTCTAGTCAAGAGTTTTGTATCAGAATATGCTTGTAGAAAATATCCTGAATGAGAATGTTAAAAGGGAAACAAAATATACTAGAAGTTGTCAGGGATATAAAGATTTAGGTCTTGGGATATTAACTGAGTTCTAGTAAGAACTGTGACCCACAAGTCTTTTGATATTTTCAGCTATGTCGTGTACTTCAGGTAGCACACTTGGGAAGAATCTGTTGGTATTCTTATTAGTTGTCTTCTTATTATTAAGTAATATTTGTTCATGTCCTATTTTTTTGCTTTTATGTCAAGGAGAATCCATCAAATTTAACGATTAATCTTAACTGTTAAAAATTAATAGAGTTAGCACTTTTGCCGCCTTGTTTCTGAAATTTCAGCAACCATAGAGTTTTTATGAAATTTGTATAGGCAGTGTCATTGTTAGAAGCAGTATAGTGAAGAGAGTCTCAGAAGTCATTTGCCCTGGTTTGAACCTAGCCTTAATAGTTGTATGACATTAGTCAAAGTATTTTACTTTTTTGGGTTTCAGTTTACATATGTGTAAAATGTGGATAATACCTTATAAGGTTTTGTGAAAACCAAGTGAGTTAGTACACTGTAAAATCCTTAGGAAAGGGCTTGGCTTATGGTAAGCAATCAGTAAATACAAGCTCTGTAAGCTATCATTGTGGTTACTACTTTCTTATTGTTAGCCTCAGACTTTTCTACAACCATTCTTTTTCATTATATTCATGAGTACATGTCATTTCAAGGATTTATAAAATATCCACAGAGAAGGCAAAGACTGCTGTCTTTTATAGAATTTAGTATGCAATACAAATAGGTAGAAGGGAAAGGAGGACAAATAGTATATTGGGTAAAAAAGGTTAGAAAAATGTGATTTAAATCACATGGAAGAGTAGAGAGAAGTAGAAACTACAGTGTTGATTAAATCTTACTCTTAATTCATGGAACATGGACTCTTAACTTTTCTCTAGGTCTTAGCACAATGTAAACTGTGTTAGGGGAATTTTAAATTTTTAAAAATTGTTTATTTTGAGAGAGAGAGAGAGAGAGAGAGAGAGAGGGAGAATGTGAGTAGTGGAGAGGAGGAGGGAGAATCCCAAGCAGGCTCCGTGCTCAGAGTGGAGGCTGATCTGGGGCTTCATCTCATGAACCATAAGATCATGAACTGAGCTGAAATCAAGAGCCAGATGCTCAACAAACTGAGCCACCCAGGCACCCTGGGAAATTTCAATTTTTGGTGGAGAGCTAACTGTTGCTGGTGTTGGTCCTAGCATTTTAGGTGTCAATAAACAATCAGTTTTGTAGCTATTAAATACCCATAGTCTTTGAGTCTAATATCGGTTCCTTGACCCACCCACACTGATTTCTGTTAATATCAGATGCTCCCTTAGTATCTGCTCCTATAGAAAAAGATTATCAGTTGCTTTATTTCCAGTTTAGTTTTTACTGGATACAAGGGTGGGTGTCTGAGGATACAGGGTATGGAAGAAAAGGAAGGATAGCCTAAAAGTATAAAACAGCTGACTCTTGGCCTGTAGCTTATATTGTAGAGAGAAAAACAAGTATGTGCATAAAAAAAAAAATATAAGCATTCCAGTTAAGGGTTATTGCTGTTATGAAAATATTGGGCGGGGTCGTGGAGGGTAGGCACCTAGGTTGCTCAGTCATTTAAGCAGGTCATGATCTCATGGTTCATGGCTTAACGTGCCGCATTGGGCTCCAGGCTGAGCACAGAACCTGCTTGGGATTCTCTCTCTGTTTCTCCCTCATTCACCCTTGCTCTCTCTCAAAATAAATGAATAAACATCAAAAGAAAAAAGAAAAGAGCAGGTGATATGTTAGACCCTGATGGGCATCTCTTAAGTTAAAGTCGTTAGATAAGAGGGCCTGTTTGAGATTACATTTGAGTTGAGGCTTGAATTATTAGAAGAAAACAGCCAAATGAAGATCTGGGGCAAGAGTATTCCAAGTAGAAAGAATACCAGCAAAGACAAAGACCCTGAAATTATTTTCAGCTTGTTTTTTTTGGGACAGAGCAAGGAGACAAGAGTGGGTAGAGCATAGTATATGAAGGGAGACAATAGAGGGAGAGGAGGTGGAAGTTCTTATTTGCCAAAATTCTTTGTAGCTCCTGCTCAGCATTGGTACTCCTCCTCCTCCAACCCTTTTTATTTTGAAAAAGTTAAAGCTAATAGGTTGAAAGAGCAGTATTAGCATGCATCCTTCACCTAGGTTTCTTTTTTGTTAACACTGTCCCATTTGTTATTTTCTGTCTATATACATACTCACATTCCCTTCCTAAATCATTTGAGAAGTTACATTCTTTATGACATTTCACTATTAAATACTGCAGCATATATCTCCTTCACAAGGACATTCTCACAATGATAATACCATCATCACACCCAAGAAATTTATCACTGATTCAAAATATATAGTGTTCATATTCACATTTTTTCCTCTTTGTTTTATGTCTGGTTTCCTTTATTCTACAATAATTTGTCACATATATGTCTTTAACAATACTGGTTTTTTGTGAAGTTCAGGCTAGCTTTAGAAAGGTTCACAACCTAAAAAAAAAAAAAAAAGAAAAAATAAAAAAAAAAAAAAAAAAAAAAAAAAAAAAAAAAAAAAAAAAAAAAAAAAAAAAAAAAGAAAGGTTCACAACCTGGATCTGAGTGTTTGCTCAGCACTGTTCTTTTCCTCAGCAGTTTATGAACGTTTTCGTACAGGAAAGTTGAAATTCTACAGTGAAAACCCAGATAATCATACCTACTTACTATCATTGACAGTTACTTCCCCACTAATCTAATCTATCCTACTAATCTTCAGTTCAGGTTTTTAAAATTTAATTCAAAATAAATTACAGGTATCTCCTAATGCTTAAAAGCATTGATACCATTATCTAGAGTCTTTGTTTCTTTTGAGGTAAAATTTACGTACAATGAAATGCTCAGATCTTAGTTTTTCATTGAGTTTCTTATTTCTTATGGCTCTATAATTTATATGCCATAAAATACACCATATTAAACTATACAATTCAGTAGTTCTGAACATAGTCACAAAGTTGTGCATCATCACCACTAATTCCAGAACATTTTCTTTACTCCAAAAGAAACCTTTACCCATTGTAGTCACTTGTATGTCCCCTCACCCATCTCCCTCACTCATGGCAATCATTAATATACTTTCAGTAGTTGTTAGTTTAATTTTTAGTTGTTTCTGTAGGGATTACAATTAACATCTTACAATCCAGTTTGGATTCATACCAATTTACTGTCCAGAATATATATAATATTTGCTTCTATATGGTTTTATTCCTCTCCTACTCCTTTGTGTTATTTTTATATAAATGATATCTTTATATGTCATAACTGTATCAACATAGTTTTATAGTTACTGCTTTATGCAGCTATCTTTTAAATCAGATAGAAGAGTTGTACAAAGGACCATCTTTAGTAACTATTTTGGGCAGATCTACTAGCAACAAATTGCCTCAGTTTTTATTTATCTGGGAATGTCTTAACCTTCATTTATGAAAGTTGATGGGTTTTTTCTTTTAATGCTTGAATATGTTAGCCTACTGCCTTTGGTTCCATAGTTTCTGCTGAAGAATCCGCTCTTAATTTTATTAAGTATCCCTTGTGTGTGACTAATCTCTTCTCTCCGTCTGCTTTCAAGATTTTTTTTCCTGGCTTTTAATAGTTTGTTACTGATGTGTCTGGATTTGGGTCTTTTGAGTTCTTTCTATTTAGTTTTTGTTGAACTTCTTGGACTTGTAGATTAATGTTTTTCATCGCATTTGTGGAAGTATTTGGCCATTATTTCTTCAGATCTTTGTCTTCTTTCCTGTGGCTCCTATTATTCATATATTGATATGCTTGATGGTGCCCTGTAGGTCTTTGAGATTGTGTTTATTTTTCTTTATTCCTTTTTCTTTTTGTTCCTCATACTAAGTACTCTGAGTTGACCTGCCTTTAAGTTCACTAATTCTTTGTTCTGCCAACTCAGATCTGCTAGTGAGCCACTTAACTGAATTTTTTTAAAATTGTAGAACTTTTATTTGATTCTTTTAAAAAATAATATCTGTCTCTGTTCTTAATTTGGTGAACACTGTTCTCATGCTTCACTGTTTACTTCATGTTTTCTGTTTATGGAATGGATTTTAAAATAGCTGATTTAAGGGCTCCTGGGTGGCTCAGTTGGTTAAGCATCCTACTCTTGGTTTTGACTCAGGTCATAGTCTCCTGGTTCATGAGATCAAGCCCTGCATCAGGTTCTGTGCTGACAGCGTGGAGCCTACTGGGGATTCTCTCTCACCCTTTCTCTCTACCCAACTCCCCGCAAAGGATAAACATTTAAAAAATAAAATAGCTGATTTAAATCTTTGTCTAGTAAGTCTAGTGTCTGGGCTTTCTCTGAGACAGTTTCTTCTTCCTGCTATTTTTCCTGTGTGTGGACCGCACTTTAATATTTTTTGGCATGGCTTATAATTTTTTCTTTTTTAAAAAATATTTTAAAT